CCCTTGTCCTTCTAGGTGGAAGTGGTCGTGGGTTTGGAAGGTGCTGTCTGAGGATCTTTGGTGAATTTCTGTAGTGCATCTTGTAGATAGTGCGCACTGCTGCTATCAAGCATCGGTGGTGGAGGGAGTGGATGTTTGTGGCTGTGGTGCCAATCAAGCGGGCTGCTTTGTCCTGGATGGTGTCAAGCTTCTTGAGTGTTGTTGGAGCTGCACCCATCCAGGCAAGTGGGGAGTATTCCATCACACTCCTGACTTGTGCCTTGTAGATGGTGGACAGACTTTGGGGAGTCAGGAGGTGAGTTACATGCCACAGTATTCCCAGCTTCTGGCCTGCTCTTGTAGCCACTGTGTTTATGTGGTGAGTCCAGTTGAGTTTCTGGTCAATGGTAACCCCCAGGATGTTGACAGTGGGGAATTCAGTGATGGTAACACCATTGAATGTCAAAGGGCACTGATTAGATTGTCTCTTATTGGTGATGGTCACAGCCTGGCATTTGTGTGGCGCAAATGTCACTTGCCACTTGTCAGCCCAAGCCTGGATATTGTCCAGATCTTGTTGCATGTGAACATGGACTGCTTCAGTATCTGAGGAGTCACGAATGGCACTGACCATTGTGCAAACATTTGCGAATATCCCCACTTCTGACCTTATGATGGAGGGAAGGTCATTGATGAAGCAGCTGAAGATAGTTGAGCCGAGGACACTACCCTGAGGAACTCCTGCAGAGATGTCCTGCAGCTGAGATGATTGACCTCCAACAACCACAACCATCTTCCTATGTGTCAGGTATGACTCCAACCACCGGAGAGTTTGCCCCCTGATACCCATTGATTGCAGTTTTGCTAGGTTCCTTGATGCCACACTTGGTTGAATGCAGCCTTGATGTCAAGGGCTGTCACTCTCACCTCACCTCTGGAATTCAGCTCTTTTGTCCATGTTTGAACCAAGGCTGTAATGACGTCAGGAGCTGAGTGGCCCTGGCAGGACCCAAACTGGGCATCACTGAGCAGGTTATTGCTGAGCAGGTGCTGCTTGATAGCGCTGTTAGTGACACCTTCCATCACTTTACTGATGATCGAGAGTAGACTGATGGGGCAGTAATTGGCCGGGTTGGATTTGTCCTGCTTTTTGTGTACAGGACATACTTGGGCAATTTTCCATTTTGTTGGGTAGATGCCAGTGTTGTAACTGTACTGGAACAGCTTGGCTCGGGGAGGGGCAAGTTCTGGAGCATGAGTCTTCAGTACTATTGGCGGAATGTTGTCAGGGCCCGTAGCCTTTTCAATATCCAGTGTCTCCACCCATGTGTTAATATCACGTGGAGCGAATCAAATTGGCTGAAGACTGGTATCTGTGATGCTGGGGACCAGTGGAGGAGGCCGAGATGGATCATCCACTCGGCACTTCTGGCTGAAAATTGCTGCGAATGCTTCAGCCTTATCTTTTGCACTGATGTGCTGGGCTCTGCCATCATTGAGGATGGGGATATTTGTGGAGCTGCCTCCTCCAGTGAGTTGTTTAATTGCCCACCATCATTCACAACTGGATGTGGCAGGACTGCAGAGCTTAGATCTGATCCATTGATTGTGGGATCGCTTAGCTCTGTCACTTGCTGCTTTCGCTGGTTGGTGTGCAAGCTCTTAATTCCAGACTCTTTTTTAAAATTCCAGACTTATTGCAAATTATCAGACTCTTAATTCCAGACTTCTTTTTAAAATTCCAATTCCACCAATCTGCTGTGGTGGGATTTGAACCTGGGTCCCAGATCATCCTGGGTTTCTGGATTAATAGTCTAGCGATAATACCATTAGGCCATTGCCTGCCCTTATTTGTGTTATATTTGTGACTAACAAGGCAGATAAAACATATCAGCTAAGTATTTGCCTTTGGGAAAAATTGGAACCTCTACTCATAGAGTCGCAGCCACAAAGTCACAGAGTCATACAGCACGGAAGGAGACTTTTGACACACTTGCCTTCTTTGGTGGCTTCACCAGGTTGGTACCTCATCTTCAGGTGTGCCTGTTGCTGCTCCTGGCATACCCTCCTGCACTCTCCATTGAACCAGGGTTGATCCCCTGGCTTGATGGTAATGGTTGAGTGGGGGATAAGCCGGGCCATGAGGTTACAGATTGTGCTGGAGTACAATTCTGCTGCTGCTGATGGCCCACAGCGCCTCATGGATGCCCAGTCTTGAGTTGCTAGATCTGTGCGAAGTCTGTCCCATTTAGCACGGTGATAGTGCCACACAACATGATGGAGGTTGTTCTCAATGTGAAGGCGAGACTTCATCTCCATAAGGACTGTGTGATGGTCAATCTTACAGATACTGTCATGGACAGGTACAACTGCAGCTGGCAGATTGATAAGGATGAGGTCAGGTATGTTTTTCCCTCTTGTTGGTTCCCTCACCACCTGCCACAGACCCAGTCGAGCAGCTATGTCCTTTAGGACCCGACCAGCTCGATCAGTAGTCCTGCTGCTGAGCCACTCTTGGTGGTGGTCAGTGAAATCCCCCACCCATAGTACATTTTGTGCCCATCCTCAGTGCTTCCTCTAAGTGTTGTTCAACATGGAGGAGTACTGATTCATCAGCTGAGGGAGGACGGTATGTGGTAATCAGCAGGAGATTTCCTGGCCCATGTTTAACTTGAAGCCATGAGACTTCATGGGCACCGGAGTCAGCATTGAGGACTCCAAGAGTAACACCCTCCCGATTGTATCCCACTGTGCTGCTACTTCTGTGTGTCTGTCCTGCCGGTGAGACAGGACATATCCAGGGATGGTGATGGTGGTGTCTGGGACATTGTCTGTAAGGTATGATTCTGTGAGTATGACAATGTCAGGCTGTTGCTTAACTAGTCTGTGGGACAGCTCTCCCAATTTTGGCACTAACCCCCAGATGTTAGGAAGGAGGACTTTGCAGGGTCAACAGGGCTATTTCTGCCATTGTCTTTTCTGGTGCCTATGTTGATGCCAGGTGATCCGTCCAGTTTAATTTCTTTGTAGAGATTGGTACAACTGAGTGGCTTGCTGCGCCGTTTCAGAGGGCAGTTGAAAGTCAACCACATTGCTGTGGGTCTGGAGTCACATGTAGGCCAGACCAGGTGAGGGTGGCAGATTTCCTGAAGGGCTTTAGTGAACCAGATGGGTTTTTCTGACAATCGGCAATGATTTCATGGTGATCAATAAACTCTTAATTCCAGACTTTTTTTTTTTTTAAATTCCAATTCTACCAATCTGCCGTGGTGGGATTCGAACCTGGGTCCCAGATCATCAACTGGGTTTCTGGATTAATAGTCTAGCGGTAATACCATTAGGCCATTGCCTATCCTTATTTGTGTTATATTTGTGACTAACAAGGCAGATAAAACATATCAGCTAAGTATTTGCCTTTGGGAAAAATTGGAACCTCTACTCATAGAGTCGCAGCCACAAAGTCACAGAGTCATACAGCACGGAAGAAGACTTTTGGCACACTTGCCGTCTTTGGTCAGAGCATTGAGTATAGGAGTTGGGACATCATGTTGCGGCTGTACAGGACATTGGTGAGGCAACTTTTAGAATACTGCATTCAATTCTGGTCTCCCTGCTATAGGAAAGATGTTGTTAAACTATAAGGGGTACAGAAAAAAAAGAATTATTACAAGGATGAAGCCAGGCCTGGAAAATTTGAGTTACAAGGAGAAGCTGGGTAGGCTGGGACATTTTTCACTGGAGCGTCGGAGGCAGGAGGGTGACCTTGTAGAAGTTTATAAAATCATGAGGAGCATGGATAGAATAAACAGTCAAGGTCCTTTTACCAAATGTAGAGGAGTCCAAAACTAGAGGGTAGAGGTTTAAGGTGAGAGGGGAAAGATTTAAAAGAGACCTAAAGGGCAGCTTTTTCACACAGAGGGTGATGTGTGTCTGGAATGAGCTGCCAGAGGAAGTAGTAGAGGCAGGTACAATTACAACATTTAGATTATAGAGCCCCTACAGTGTGGAAATAGGCCCTTTGGCCCAACAAGTCCACACTGACCCACAGAGCATCCCACCCAGACCCAATCTACACATCACTGAAAACGATGGGCAATTTAGCATGGCCAATCTACCTAGCCTGCACATCTTTGGACTGTGGGAGGAAACCCACACAGACACAGGGAGAACATGCAAACTCCACACAGATAGTTGCCTGAGGGTGGAATTGAATCCAGGTCCCAGGCTGTGAGGCAGCAGTGCTAGCCACTGAGCCACCATGCCACCCTAAAAATTTTAATTTTCATTTAAAAGACATCCAGACAGATACATGGAAAGGAAAGGTTTAGAGCAATATGGGCCAAATGTAGACAAATGGGACTAGCTTAGTTTAGGATACCTGGTCGGCATAGACGAGTTGGACCGAAGGGTCTATTTCCATGCAGTATGACTCTGTGATTCTGTGGCTGTATTTTTTCTATTCAGTAATAAGATGTGGGTGGCATCTGTCCCTAATTGCCCCTTGAGAAGGTGGTGTTGAGCTGCCTTCTTGAACCACTGTAGTCCATCTGCTCAAGAAGGAAGTTCCCCACCAAGCCACCCACCATCCTGACTTGGAAATATATCGCTGCTCCTTCACAGTCGCTGGGTCAAAACCCTGGAATTCCCTCCCTAGGGGCATTGAGGGTCAATCCACAGCCGGAGTGCTGCAGCGGTTCAAGAAGGCAGCTCACCACCACCTTCTCAAGGGGTAACTAGGGACGGGCAAGAAATGCTGAGCCCGGCCAGTGATGCCCATAATCCATTAACAGCCAAAATGAATGAGGTTGAATGGAAACAGCCTGTCTATGTAGCTGTGTAACTGGGTAAAACTTCAGACCGTCTTGTGAATGGGTACAGTTTCTGTCAATCAGACTATTGCTGCATTGTGACTGGGGAAAACGCCTGTCTGTAAGTTAACAGTGTTGGCTCCTGGCTGAGTCCCTGTGCACTGAGCTATAAAACCTCGCTAGTGCATTCCTCTCCTTCAGGAGAGATGGAGAGTCCCCTGGACCGGTTTATGGAATGACTGACTCCCGTCTCGGGGTAATTTCTACTTCGAAAGGACTTGGGGAACCTTCTGTAGAGACAGGCTTCATGAAATCTGCAAGGAGCCGCAGGATTCCCAGCGCCGGAGTGAGTCTGTGCATTTAGACTTTTCTATATTGTCTCCGAAAATGTTGCAACAAAGTCAAACAGAAAAAGAATCCGGGGAGGGCGCAGAGCTGCAGGGCAGAGGTAACATTAACAGCGAAAGTTCTTGAGTTCAGAACAGCCTTGAATTTGCAATAAGTCCCTGAGATACCAGAGTGAACAGTGGAAGAAATGTGGGACAGCTCTTGATCCAGCTGGTTGGGGAAGAATTTGGGGGTAAGGTCTCGGAAAGATGGGCGGAATAAATGTTCTATATTTCTTAACACTGCCATGTGCCACATTAATCCAGACCTCTGTATCACAGTGTGACTACAGTAATGGGATCTGGTAGCCTCCCTGTGGACAAATACACAGCCCCAGACCTTCAGCTCCAAATCGTCTAGCTCCATTTGAAGTGGAGCGATATCTGGGACACATTGAGTTAACAAAACAAAATCTTGCTTTTCTGGAATGTCCTTCCCCAAGGGAAGATGTCCTAATGGGTTCTTCAGTCACTGAAAGTGGCCTCAGTGCTTTAAGGGTTGTTGGTTAGCTTGGATGGTTGGTTTGTGATACATAGTGATGACAACAGCATGGGTTCAATTCCTTCATCAGCTCAGGCACCATGAGGGCCTAAGCTTCTCAACCTCCCCCCCTCACCTGAGGCATGGTGACCCGAGCACATCCTCAGTACCACACTGCAACACCAAGCTTGATTTTCAAAATTAACGCCTGGAATGGGACATGACCAAAAGGCGTGAGTGCTACCCTACAAGCTTCTTCATTATTCTTCAACGGTACAAGGGCATTGCTTGTCAGCATTGGTTGCTCATCCCTAATTGCCTTGGAGATGGGTGTGGAGCTCAGGCCTTTTCAGAGGGCCAGTTACATATTATTGTGGAGTCATGTGCGGATTTGTTTTTAACATAAATGTCACAGACACCATTACCGAGATTAGTTTTGTTTTTAATTCCGGGAGCAGCCGTGGTAGAATTCACACCTTTGACTCCTAAACATTAGCCTGGGCCTGAGAATTACCAATTCAGTGATATTACTACTACACCATTGTCTTCCTCAAAGTAACACTCACAGATTGTAAAAAAAAACAAAGAACTGCAGATGCTGGAAATCAGAATCAAATGAAGCGTCAAAACACCCAGTTCTAAAAAAGTGTCACTGACCCGAAACGCAAATTCTGCTTTCTCTCTGCAGATGTAACAATGCTAAATGGAGATTGCAGCACACAGATAGCATCTCTGCAGTGAGTAAACCTGCTTCATCTCTCTCTCTCCAGCCAACTCCACCAATGGGGAGGTGATGGCCTAGTGGTATTATTATTGGACTGTTAATCCAGAGACCCAGATAATGTTCCGGAGACTTGGGTTTGAATCCCGCCATGACAGATGGTGGCATTTGAATTCAATAAATATCTGAAATTAAGAATCTAATGATGACCGTGAATTCATTGTTGGTTGTCAGGAAAAAACCCATCTGGTTCACTAGTGCCCTTTAGGGAAGGAAACTGCCATCCTTACCTGGGACTCCAGGCCCATAGCAATGTGGTTGACTCTTAACTATCCTCTGGGCAATTAGGAATGGGCAATAAATGCTGCCTGGCCAGCGATGTTCTCATTCTGTCAATGAATAAAGGAAAAAAATCTATCTTCTTTTTCACATACTTACTTAGCTTCTCCTTACACCAAGTGTTTGCCTCAACAACTTGATATGGGAGTAGCTCCCACACTCTTACAAATGAACAGCAAGATACTGCAGATGCTGGAAATCTAAAATAAAAACAGAAAGTGCTGCAGGAACTTGGTGGCTGAGTGGTTAGCACTGTTGCCTCACGGGACCTGGGTTTAATCCCACCCTTGGGTAACTGTCTGTGTGGAGTTTGCAGATTCTCCCTGGGTCTGTGTGGGTTTGCTTTGGTTTGATCCCACAGTCCACAGATGTATAAGTGGATTGGCCATGTTAAATTGCCCCATGGTGACTGAGGGTGTGCAGGCTAGGTGGATTAGCCAATGGAAATGCAGGGTTACAGGAATGGGGTGGGATGCTCACCAGAAGGTTGGTGTGGACTTGATGGGCCGAATGGCCTGCTTCCACACTGTAGGGATCCTGTGATTCTAACTTAGCCTGGCAGTGTCTGTGGAGAGAAACGCAGAGCTAACTAAAGTTCTGAAGAAGAGTTGTATAGGAGTGAAATATATTCTGTTTCTCTCTGCAAAGATACTGCCAGACCTGTTGAGTTTATACAGCACTTTCTGTCTTATTCCATATTTTTAAAAGATTTTTTTTTCTGTTGGTGACTCCCTTGTATTTATAAACTCTAGTTATAGCCTCTCCTCGTCTAACCTGTAGCTTAAAGAGCCGTAAACATCTCCTCTTTTGTAGGGAAATAAGCACCAGCATGTTCACGGTTTTCTGATAAACTCTCAGGTATCACATTGTTCTTTTCATTTCATCCTCAATGTATCGTTACCTCTTTTATACCAGTGAGACCAAATGCTGCACAATAGTATTCTGATGGAGCTTTTTAAAGATCCACGTAACAGGTGGGCGTGATATTTTCACAGGCAATGCAGTGTGCCCTCAGTGCCACAGTAAATATTGGGTGTGCTAATTTTGATTAGGCAGCCAGTCGTTTAAATCCTGAAACCATAACCTTTGAACCCAGAGGCAAGGTTGCTCCCAGGACAGCTGCCAAGAGAGAGCGGTAGTTGTTTCCCTTTTATTAAAATAAATCAAAACAATGATGCAGCGGGCTGGGCAAGGTTATTACGAAGACAAAAGGATAGCAGTTGGACTGGAACATTGGAAAGGAGCAACCTAAAAGCTGCCTAAGAGTGTGTCGGTGTGTTGGAGACATTCAAGAGGGATTTAGATCATTATCTGAAAAGGAAGAATGTGCAGGTTTAAATGGGGGTGGGTGGGGGCGTGGGATCTACGGAATGCTGCCAGGTGATTTGTTCATTCGGAGAGCCAGCACCAACATGATGGGCAAATAACTTCATGACCGGTTGAAGAGAGAGAATTGGCTCCCCTCTTTTAAACTCCCTTTTCGTTGGTTTCAACAGATATTTTTATTTCTTCTTGAGCACAGCAGATGACAATTAAAAGTAACAAGCCAGATCAAAACAAAGGAGCCAAATTACAAAGCTTCCTTGAGTGAAAGAAAGAGGAATTTTATTACCTTCTAATTCCAAAAAGTAACAAAAATCTGATATCAAACACACACACAGACATAGGTAATAAGCTTAAAAAGCAGACGGATGGCTTGTACACAGTGGAAGGTAAAAGTAATCACAGATTCAAGTTCTTAAGAGTCCTTGAGTGTAAGAATGATGAATGTAAGAATGTTTAGCTGCAGTCTTGTTTCTCAGTAGTGGTGAAGTTTGTAAATCTTCTTGAGTCCTCAGTGAATGCTTGTTGTTCGTGTTCTGTTTTCACTGATTTTTGAAGTTAGTGTGTGACAGAACCCATCTTACAATTCTTACTTACAAATCCATTTTTATTTTGTGTCTGCTCTGCTGCTCAAAAAATGTTTTTTAAATAAAGCTCAGTATGTATTCCAGTGTCTAGTTTCATTGTCTTTCTGAATTGGCTAGGTGGCAGCTGAGCCTTTCATTTCAACATGAAACTTTCAAACAGGTGGAAGTTAACCAGAAGATCCAGATCTTAATTTCAGGGGCTTTTCGAAGGATGCTAATTTTCAACACAGACTGATCTTTGTTCACTGATTGTTTCATGAGATTGATTGAACCTGATCAGGTAGCTACGGTGGCTGTTTTAGGTCAGCCATTGTCGTTTTTAAAACAATTTTGATACCATGAAGGTTTCATGTGTTTAAATCAGTTGTTGGAAGTTGAATGGCAATAGTCCATATTTACTTTCACAACACAGCTGTAACTATTCCATGGTATTCTAAACCATGAATGGGTGAAACTGATGGGAAAATGGGGAAGATGATGTAAAAGAAATAGATTGCAATTGTTCATGAATGTTCCAAAGTGCTTCCCAGATAATAAATTACTTCTGAAGTGCAGTCATTGCCAAGGAATGTCATGGCAGCCTGTTTTGTTATTTTGAATCAACCTATTCAGGGATGTTATTCTACCTCTGGAGCAGATGGTGCTTAAACTTGGGCCATCCTAGCTCTGAGTATGGGCACTGCCACTGCACTTCAAGACCTCCATGATAACCTACTTACATGAAACACTAACTTAACGAGGAATGGATTAAATAGATGCTGTTTTTCTGTGATATTGGTTGGGGGGGTGGTGGAAATAATATTAGACATGGCGAGAGCTCCCTTTCTCTTCTCTGAATATTACCATGGATCATTCGTATCTTCTGCTAGCAGTTGGGTCTCACTTTGATGTCTCACTCTCAAAGTTGTACCTGCGATGAGGTGAGGACTAGGACTAGTAATTTCTTGTTTTAAAGTAGATAAAATGTGAAATCCAGAGGACATACCAAGAGAATAAAACCACAAGATCTCACATTTTGAACAATTATGAACTTTACTGTACAATATTAGAATAGTAATACAGTCAATAATACATGAAAAACTTCTGTTCTAACATTCCAAATTAACGTGTGATTTATATGGGTAATAGACTTTGGGAAACACCCCATTAGCACAAATTGAATGACAAACGCAATCAAGGTAGATCCTACAGATTTCTCAACAGCATTCCTCAGATGTTAATGATATGAGGGATCCTCAATTTTTTTAAGGCAAAGATAGATAGATTTTGAACAGTAAAGCAATTAAAGGCTATGGTGAGCAGGCGGGAAAGTGGAGCTGAGTCCACAAAAGAGATAAGCCATGATCTTAAACGGCAGAGCAGGCTGGATAGGCCAGATGGCCTGCTCCTATTCCTTATCTTCCTATAATCTCACTAAACTTCACAAAGATCACAATTCTTTGCTTTTGTTGATATGATCTGGAAACTCCCTCTCAAATGCCACTCCATCATGACTGCCTCGATGACTGC